ACATTGTGTCTTATCCGAAGTATACTAATGCATACGAAACTGGTATACTACTAAAATTAACAAATAAATAAATGTACAGTAAAATAGACTGACATAAATATGCTGTATGTTTGTACTAAATGAATTGATTGGTACAAACGTGAAATTTTTACAAGGAAAACAAATTTGCTTGAGGAAATTCTTAAAGGAAAGCGCTATTCAAAAATCGACATTATTATTTCGACGAAGTCGGTCATTATCAAAGCTGGTGTTAACGATTTTATATCAAATATAATTTGCGCATGTATTTACCATTAGCGTCCCTTTTTTTAGAGTACCTAACATCAATTATGCAGTAATCGCGTTTTTTTCATTGTTTATCAACCACACATATTTCATTAACTGAATGATAGTTAGATTTATATTAAATATGCGTATTGCTAAATTAGTGTTCCTCTTCAAGAACAGGCCACTAAAGGTAAAAATGTGCGCAAATCAATACTGGTTCATTACTTTTCTCCTTTTGTTATTATTTGATGTCACCATCATTATAGGGTCCTCAGTCCTAAGACTAGTTGGACATGTACCTCCACTCTTTCCTATCGTGAGGTAAACTTATTACAGCTAACCCTATTGCACTTATTATTTGATGTAGGACGCATTTTTTATCTGGGGCATTCTTTTGTTAGTATTTGTATATACTTGCGTTTGATATTTTACCATTCACCGGGCGGCATGGTCTAGCATTCTAAATCATTAGTATTTAAGAGGACGAATTAGATTCGATTCAGGATCCTCCTGCCCTAGTCCAAGCTTTTCAATAGTTTTTAATGATCATTTAGACAAATGCTAAGGTACATCTCTACTAACAAAATAATTCGAAGTGGTCTGTATTCTGTCGAAACTGCCAGACGCGGATCGCGATGCGCCATCTGTAGTACGATGCTACATTTGAGGATTACATATGCTCCAACAAAGTCCATTTAAAAATACGGATATCTACTTGCTGAAACGAATCCCGGCGTAGCTCACCTCAACGTGATAGGCACGTTACCATAATCGAACAAAATAATTCGAAGTGGTCTGTGTTCTGTNATAAGGACTAAACTGGGAAATCTGTTTGGTTACCTAGACGACACCATCATACTGGTGACGACCATTATCTCCAAAACGTGATCGAAGTATTCAAAAAATTGACAATCGCAAAATTAAAGCTAAGACCTAAGGCATGCGCTGAAGCTTAGTTCTAAGACATGCGCTTAAGCTAAGTCCTAAGACATATGCCCTGAGAGAACAGAAGTACCTGGGGCATGTTATAACAATGGAAGAAATTAGGGCCGACCCATGCAAAACGGACATCTTACGAAATTGGCCCTTACCAAGGGTCGGCACGAATTTAAAAAAGATTTCTGGGACTTCGCTCCTACCGTCGAAGATTCATACGATCACTACACAGACTTGCCGAAGATGAAGTTTTATTCCAATAGACACCCGAATGCAAAAGCGCATTTAAAAACTTCAGCACTCTCTGGAGTCTCAATCTGGACATACGCACAGTTCAGCGAACCGTTTATCATTGAAGCCGATCCTAGTAATGTGAGATTTGGTGGTGTGTTATCCCAGGTACAAGACGGAAAGGAAAAGGTCACCAGTACAGTAGTAAAGCATTCTTGAGACGAGAACGAAACTGTAGACATTTTTTAACTATAGAGAAGAAAGAAGGGTTGTTGCAATCTAACCAAGATTCAGCCTAAGGGATCCTAGGAAGATAAAGAATTAATCAAAGATCAGAGCAAAGACAAAGATATGATGATGCCCAATAATGAGGTGGTAAAAAGCCGGAACCTCAAGACCATCATGGACAGAAGTGAGTCACTTAACCCAAGAAACGAAAAATTATTGGGCCCAGTGGACCTCCCTTACCTTGGGCTATGGCGTTTTTAAAAAAATGTGGGAGAGTCCAGATGGAACCAGAAACAAACTTCAAGTGGTATTTTTCAAGAATTTCAGAAGTATTAGAAACAATCCATGGCAAAGGATATTTTAGCATTATGAGGGTTCTTGGGAAGGTACGCGAGTGACTTTATTGGCTAAAAAGTAGAAAGACTGGTGAAGGAAATGCTCAATGCGTCGCTGTAAGGGACAGAAAACAAAAAGTCGCAGTCGACGTGGCATGACCATTCACAATGATAGACTTCGATAATCAATACATCTTGGTCGTCATGAATTACTTTAGCAAGTGGCTCATAGCATAATACCTAATCAGGAAGCGCTTACCAATAGAATTGCATTCCGAATTCCGAATGTGAGGCTATACAATCCATCGTGCCGGAAGGGGCGTTGCCCGAAACTACAACAAGCTTGGGACGGTCACCTTTATTCTAGAATAAATCGTATTCCCACTGAACCTCAATTTTCCATTGAAAATCACTCCTAGGTCCTTGACATCCGAGGATTTGACCACGTCAGAGTTCATTAACGACTAATTAGAAGCCAAACTATCGCGTATTTTATATAAAAACATGACCTGGCATTTATCGACATTTAAAACTTAAAATAAGACCATTATTTATTCACCAGTTTGCAAATCTATCAAGGTCCTCCTATAGCTTCTCAACGTTACGTCCAGTGCCAACATTTTTGGAAATTTTTGTAAATGTATAGATAAAGGTAAGATCTATATTAAACCATGTTCGGTAATCACTAGGACCCGTTTTATAGGTCCATATATGATATCATTAATTATGTTACAAAATTTATCTACTCTTTTAGTGCAGTTTAAACCAATAAACGTTAATAATCAATTAATCAATTAACGAATAATTTAAATTATTACTAGAGTGAGTATGGCACAGCACGCTAAAAATTGCAGGAGGGTAATAAACGTTAATTTTTGGGAGAGTATTCAAACATGGAAAGTGACTGATTCCTGGACAGTCCATGAAAAGTAAATCAAGAGTATAATCTTTATTGTCCACTATCACTAGATGAACTTGATAAAGCTCAAGCATATTAAATGCATCTGTGATTGCCCTGGACTTCTCAGCAATAGAATGTATTGTATATCGATATTAAAACTCAATGGGTTCATTGAGCCATTTAACATTATGCAGGTTGTAGTCACCATAAACCATAAACTTGAAGGTTGGATTGCTATTAGAACGACTCTCAATTACCTCAGTATGACTAATGTAATCCTCAATGAGGCAGAATGGAGCAAAATATGCAGCACCAATGATTTTCTGTGCATAAGCTTCAACTCTAATGAGAAACTGTTCAACTCTCTTGTGTATTATAATGAATAGCGAGATGATAAACTTCTTTTGCACTGCAATGAGAGTCCCACCACCTCTAAATCTATCAGTGATTGGAGGATCTCGATCCAGCCTGTACACATCATTGCTTTCAATGAAAGCTTCTGCAATGCTCAAGTATAGTAAGAGCCAAGTTTCGGTGAGGATTGTGATATCTGGTGAATACGTACACGATGCAATGCTTAATTTTAGAACTTTTAGCTTAGTTCGCAATCCCTTTATTGGCAGTAAACAGTCAGGATGACTTTCCTGACAGCCAAATTTTTTGTATCTCTGATCAATTTGTTACAATTAATTTTTCATAAATCTTATGGACAATTAATTTATCATTAGGAAATGAATTATTATACTTTTCAACTATCAGCTTCCTTTGGTCATGCTTAGCTGAGCCAGACGGTCTTCGATTAAGGCAATTTTGTTCTCACATTCAGTAATTGTCAAATCCTTATACTGAATTAATGATTTTAAAGGGAGACGAACGTTCAATGTCACGACGAAAACAATATGATTGATATGCAATGAAGATAGATAGATATTAAAATTGAAAAAAACTACTTTTAGAGATATATATATACCCTTCCCCCATAGCAACCATCGCTATAGTTCACTAATGCATATGAATTATTATGTGAATCAGAAGATGTTCCGGTATTAAAAGAATCCAACAGTCGTCTGCTCTTCCACGAAAATAAAAAAAGGTAATACACATAACTCTATGCCACTCAACATCGCTCCCTCTACTGTAGCGATGTGACGTTCAGTTTGACCGGCGCAAAGTAGAAAAGAACAGCACTAGGCCAGAAAAAAAAGGAGACAACTCTCAGTCAAACTCTCAACCGGCGAGGAGCGTATAATCCGCACAGTACTGCACGGAAAAGTTTACCATTTTATCCACTATAATTGCATTGCTCAAATGTGCTGTTATTGGTACCAATTACTACTGAAAATATCTACGAGATGCTTATTTATATTTGAAGACATATTAAGGCTTTAACGCTTGTTTTCGACTCGCACTACTATTCATGATTGAACAAAACTTTTGGCAGGTACTGTATGAAAAAGTATGTTTAATGAACAACAGTCGAGAGCATAATGAGCTTTTTTCTCCCTACCTACGATTTTGCCAGCGCACATCCAAGATATTGGAAGGGGCACATCGCTAGAGAAAGTAAATGAAGTATAGTACATAATTTGTTCACTGATATGGTATTTACGTGGATTGACAGAGTGTACAAAAAAGATCACACGCACTGTTCGACGACGGCGGGGCCTTTCCTCTGTACTCAGCAGACATCAACCTGAAATTCCGCCGGCTAGCGGCCGAGACAAATTGGTATTGGCTATTTGCTTTGCTACTAGGGAAAGGGGAGGGCGAGACATTCCGTTAATAATGAAATATTAGGATGTTTCTCAGTACATGACAGTGAAACGTATTCGCTAGTATGGGTTTGGATTTGTATGTGTAGAGGGACGTATCTCGCTTATGGGTACTAAGGATGTATTCCTTCTGGAGAGTTGAGGCTCCTAAATGTATTCAGCAACTGCCTGTTAAAAGGATATCTAGAATGTAATAAGTATTAAACGTATACGGATGAAGAAGACCGCTTTGGTTAGTAAGTATTCCTTGGAAGAAACCCAACAATACCCACTCGTACAGACAGTTACGTTTCTTTCTACAGCATTAGCTAGTGGGAATGAAATACGATAAAGTTTTTTCTCTAGTAGCCCTTATTGCTATTTTTATTTCTTAAAATTATTATAAACAAGACTACATACATATTAAGAACTACCATTCGCTTAATTTTATATCTTCAATTAAATCTTCAACATCACTTCCGTCGGGACTTACAGAATTGCTGTCATTATCCCTTCTAATTAGTTTCTTGTTTGTCTTTCCTTTACCTCTTGCGCCTCTTTTGGTTTTTCGCTCATTTTCTGTTGATTTCTCGTCATCACTTTCGCCGAAATTAAATTCGTTATCAGACTCACTATCGCTAGGGAATGGATTAGGTGGATTTTTAATTTCGCTATCCGGTTTTTCTTTTTTCGTTTTCCTTATAATGGGTAAATTGTATTCGCCGATTTTATCATTCTCAGTTGCCAGTTTATTTTTCTTTATCGTCCTAATTTTATTCCATTCATCATAGTAAGTCGTTAGTGGAGTTCCTTTATTCTTAGTCAGTGTCTGCCAAGCTTCTATTTGTTTCGAGTCGGTTAGAGAAACCGATAGACTTTTACGTTCTTTTTCGATGAAAGCATTTGTCTGTTGAATTTTCTCGAGAATCTGTCGCATTTTTTTACAGTAATTTGTAACATGACAAACCTTTAAAAATTTCTTTATCTGAAAAATTAAAAAATTGGCTTTGTATTAATATTGCTTTTTCTTTGTTTAGTTAATACCTGCATAACGCAAAATAGACTTAAATCAGGAAAAGCTATTGAGTGGGATTGACAGGACAAGTACTCCAGTAGTTGTGCATAAATTGATTCAATTAGAGTGTCTTTGAAACCGTTTTCTTGCATCTGAGATTTGGATAAACGCAATATACAGGTAAATTGAAGAGGTTTCATTGAAACTTTTGTATGCTTTTTATTGAAGTCGAATGTTTGCAAAACCTACAAATCAAACAAAAATTAACAATGTAGCCATTATTAAAGAAAAAAAAAATCAATAAAAAACAGGTTCTACTAAATATTCTTAAACACAACCATACATTAAATAAATATAGTGTAGATAATAATATATAAAAGTCGTCAGAGGGCGCATGCGAAATAGTTTTTGGTTTGTCTGCTCCAATATTTTCTTTATTGTAAGTGATTACCGAATGAATATTGTAAATTAGCAAGTTGTATAGGAGGCTTTGGTTGTGCCTATTGATATTAATTGTAAATTAGTTAGTTGGCTCGTCACAGAGTTATGATGAAGAAACGTGGATTTAACCTTAAACTCAAGACACGCCTTACAGTTCCTACTGTGTCCGCGCCTACCGGAAATCGTAGTTATATGAGTGCGAACGTCTCGTTTTTATCCTCGGTTAACAAATACTCTTATCAACAATGCTCANACCATAATCTAACAAAATAATTCGAAGTGGTCTGTATTCTGTCGAAACTGCCAGACGCGGATCGCGATGCGCCATCTGTAGTACGATGCTACATTTGAGGATTACATATGCTCCAACAAGGTCCATTTAAAAATATGGATATCAACTTGCTGAAACGAATCCCGGCGTAGCTCACCTCAACGTGATAGGCACGTTACCATAATCGAACAAAATAATTCGAAGTGGTCTGTGTTCTGTTGAAACTGCCAGACGCGGATCGCGATTTCGATCTTTTTGGATCTCATCAGCGCGTCGCAGACAGCTCCGACAGAACACAGTCCAACCTTTACCTGCTGTCTTAACGCTCTGTTATGTTATGTAATCCTCAAATGTACCATCGTACTACAGATGGCGCTCACCACGCCATTTGTAGTATTTTCTACATCCCTACTGTATTCATTTCGTCTGTTCCACATGTCTCTCTCTAACCACTACCAACTCATTACCACGATTCCCAAAGGTAGGCTGAAAAGGACTTTCCGCCCTATCCTTTGACTTTATAGTAGTGTCGGTTGCCGATAGTAGTAGACATCAAGAGCATTATTAACTGATTTCAACCCTAACCCACATAAATAATAATTAATCTTATGAGTACACGCCGTATAGTATACAATTCATACGTAGACGTACGGTACATGCACATGTAAGCAAGCGTCTCAGAATTTCTATCGTCTCTGTCGATTGACCAAAACTATGTTAAACATCGAAATCGGACCAAACCGCTAGATAGACATTTTTCATTTAACCCATGCAAATAATTATTGTGTAAATACTGTGACGAATTTAAACCCTCTTCGCACTATTACTACATTTATTTAACTATTTTCTGTCTAAATAGCACTTCTGTTCAATTATCAATTCACCACTATAAACTCTTTGTCACTTCTTCACTCCTTCTTCTTAGCTTTGTATCGCCTTGAATTCTATTATTCGTACTAACTAACTCTCGATCTAGCGACAACTATTTACAGAGGCTGACCCTATTCCAGAATGTTCCAGTATGTGCCTTCTCAAAACCTGGTCTTCTTTGCCACTATGTATGTTGGGAATTGCCTACATACATGTGACGTTACCCACCTCCTAAAAGTGATCGTTCTGATTAGTGACGTCGCCTCTGTAGGGAGCAAGCCGGTCAAAATGGACGATCTTCATTTTTGCCCGAGGTCCCTTTTGAATTCGGTAAATAACACCGCTGATGTGTCGAGTAACGGTGTATGGACCATCCCAAGTCTGTTGTAGTTTCCTTCCGCCTTGATGGATTATATAGTCATACATTGTCGCCTTCATTAAACCCAGCAGAATTGACTCGTGGATCGTATCTGGTCTTCATGCGGTCAATCTCAAATCGTAGCATTGTACGCACAGCGTTATGGATGGCTTCTAGTCGATCTGGTAGTTCGCCCATGTATTCGTCTGTAGGTACTGGAGACTCTTCAGGACGGATAAATATCATGTCCGCTGGCAACCTGAATTCTTTTCCGAATAAAAGATTATCGATGTTCTTCCAGTTGACTCATTGATGGCGGATCTATACGTCAGGAGGAATAGTGGTAAGTGTCGGTCCCAGTCAGTTTGGTTTTCGTTGACGACGCTTCTCAAACTGGTCTCCAGAGTAGCGTTTAATCGTTCGACCATTCCGTCAGACTGTGGATGAAAGGGCATAGTCCTCGTTTTAGTAATGCCCATTAGTTCAGTGATATTCTAGAACAAAGCCGTTTCGATGTTCCTACTTTGGTCGGAATACAATTCCAATGGTACCTACTCCATATCGGATAATCCAGTCATTGACAAGCGTCCCAGTGCCGGAGTGTGCTTCTTGGTTCGGTATGGCATATGCTTCGAGCCACTTGCCAAAGTAATCTATAACTACCAAAATCTATTGGTTACCGGAGCCCGTCACTGGGAATGATCCTACCACGTGCACTGCGATTTTCCCAAATGACGCTCCCACGTTGTACTGCTGTATTCGTCCACGACTTATTGTCTTCAGTCCCTTACTGGTGGCGCATGACGGGCATTTCCTGCACCAATTAATAAAATTGTTCGCGTAGCTTCCCTAGAGTCTTCGTAACGCCGAAATGTCCCTTGTCATGGGCTGTTTCTAAGACATCTGAAATCCTTCTCTTCGGAAGTACCACTTGGAGCCTGTTTCTGGTTCTATCTGGACTTTCTCACATTATTTTCTAAACGCCGTGCTCTAATTTACGGGAAGTCCACTGTGCCCAATAACTTTTTGTTGTTTCACTTAGGTGGCTTACATTTCCCACAGTGGTCTTGAGGTTCCGGTTTCTTTCCATCTCATTATTAGGCCAATATCTTCGTCCTTCCTCTGGACTTTGATTAATGCCCTACCTTCACAGGAACCCTCAGGCTGAACGGTGGTTAGATTACAACAAATCGATGCCAGCTCCTCCTTCTTCTCCGCAGATGAATAATGTTTGCAGTTTTCCACGCAAGGTCTCCGGGATAGTGTATCTGAGTTGCCGTGTTGCTTGCCTGGGCGATGCTCGATGTCAAACTTATATTCTTGAAGTCGTTCTAACCATCGTACAATCTGCTCTTCTGGGTTCTTCAATTCCAGTAGCCACTTTAGGGAGGAGTGATCCATTCTTAAAAGAAACTTTCATCCATACAAGTACTTGTCGAAATGCTGGAAGGTTTTAACCACAGCCAGTAGATCTCGACGAGTGACACAATAATTTCCTTCTGGTTTCTAGAGTGTTTTACTAAAGTGCCCTATGACCCTTTCCTTTCCTTCTTGTACTTATGATAGCACACCATCTAGCCCCACAATACTAGCGCCGGCATCAATAATGAAGGGTTCGTTGAACTGTGGATACGCCAAGATTGGGGCTCCAGAGAGTGTATTCTTGGAATTGTATGGAATGAAACTCACCATCTGTAAGTCTATGTAGTGGTCTGCCTATATAGCAAATCCTCATATGAATCTTCGGTAGTAGAAACAGAGTCATAGAAAACATCTAAGTTCGTGACGATCATTCGGTTTGGGCCAACTTCGTACAGCATCCGTCCTATAGGGGTCGGTCATAATTCCTTCTGGTGTTATGACATGGCCTAGGTATTTCACTTCTCTCCTAAAAAAGATACATTTCCTGGGACTTTACTTCAATCATACGGCTGACAATTTCTTGAAGACTTGACTCACGTTTCGGAGGTATGATAATGTCGTCTGGGTAAACCAACAGATTTTCCAGTTTAATCCTTGTAATACAGTGTCCATGAGTCTTTCGAATGTAGCCGGTGCATTGCATAATCCAAAAGGCGTCACAATTAACTGCCATAGACCATTTCCAGGCAGACTTCTCCTTATCCTGCGGATACATATCCACTTGTCAGTATCCACTTTTCAAATCAAAATTAGAGAACCATTTAGCTCCAGCTAGACTGTCTAGTGTGTCGTCGATTCGATTTAATGGGTAGCTCTCCTTCAGCGTTACGTCATTTAGCTTCCGGTAGTCCCCACAAAATGCAAAATCTCATGGAATCGTCGTTCATACGTACCACCACTGTAGGGGAAGCATAAGAACTTTGAGATGGTTCTATTACCCCCTGCTGAAGCATGTCTTTTATAAGATTATTGACTTGCTCTTACTTCTCCCAAGGCACTCTTCTAGTCGGTATTTTGATGGACCTTGTTGTTTCAGTGTTGATGCGGTGGTATATTAAGTTGGTCCTACCAAAGTCTTAATCTGACAGGGCGAAGACGTGTTGAAAACGGCCAAAAAGTTCTTCCAGTTGCTTGACTTAGTACTCGTTGAGATAGTTACTTAACCTACACACTTGTTCTGTATAAGTTGCAGGAAGTGATGTCAGTTTCATTTCAGGTTCTTCTTCCTATTTACGGTGGTGTATTTCAGCAACTGGTTCCAATACTCCCAACTCTGTGCCTTTGCAGTTCAAATGTGGCTGGCGTGTTGCATTGACCGAACTGTATCACCTAAAATTGCAACAGTCCTGTTCCAATGGAGAATGCCCTCTTTTCTTTAGCATCAAGATCCAGATCTACTTGCAAGTATCGATTTTTAAGGTCCCAGGATGAGAAAAACGTAGACCTAACAAGCTTGTTCAAGGTAACGTTGTCTCGACTTATGAATAGCTACCTTTCTTCCTCGCACTATATAACTGGCGAAAGTTCACACATAACGCCTTGACCCTTCTTTCTTCTTAACCAAAACTGCCGGCTATATCTAGGGTCTAGTTCTATTATCCCATCCTTCGTCATATTGCGTATGATTTTCTCGGCCTCTTACTTCTTAGTTAATGGTAGTCTGTGTAATCCCCTTATTTTACATTTCTTAGTTCAACCATTTTTTTTTTTAATAAACAATTTGATAAATTGAAATACTTAATCGATTGTTCTGATTAATAAAATAATTCATTTAATCAACAACTTGAATAACTTATTCTTTTGAAAAATTAATACACTTGAAACTTAATAGATTAATCGGATAATTGCGCAATCGTTATTACCATTTCCGCATAATCTGTGTATTTTGAGACAATTTGTCAACACTAACTTGGT